TGTACTGTATGTTTTTATATTGAAAAAAATTGTATTTAAAAATTATATAAATATCATTATGCACATTATTTTTGTTATATTAAAATCATATTACAAAACAGCTTTTGAATGCAATTATTAATACTATTATAATGTTATTTTCTGAATTAATTAATTGTGCAAGAAGGTCATGTTTTAATTCATTTTAATGGCAAATTACAATAGGAATATTATCCTGTTTATCTTAAGGATTATTGCAGTAACTTATTTTATCAGTAACCCATGTCCATAATAGTACACCATACTTAACCTTGCACTACTTTTGTATGCATGCTATGTAAACATTGGACTTAGATAATGCTGTATTTACTGGCCTTATTAGAATATAAATTTTCACTTGATAAATAATTTTTTCAGGTAATGGAGATATAGTGTCACTAAAATAGATGTTACTTTAATAGTTTTCATTCATCATATCAAATATTTATCATTGGAAAGAACTTTATTTTGACATACAAGCTACATGTGCTGCAAACTGTTTCAGGTAAGGCTTTTGTTTTTATTTTAATTTTCTTTTTCTTTTTAGGTAATGTAACAGTTTCTTTATAGGTAAAGGATTAATGCCTCAACAGTTTCCTTTTCAAATGTACCTCAGAATACTTCAGTTGAAAGTTTTAATTTTTATCCTAAAATTTTCAACAAAACAATATGGCTGCCGTTTGATGCACCTTAACTACTATAGTAAAGTAATGATACTTTAATCGAGAAATATGCCATAAAGAACAAAAGGAAACAATTATTTTTTAATAAGCACGCGTCTATAAGCAATCCATTTTGAGACTGTGAAAATCCAATTCAACCAGTGAATATGATACTTCACCCCGTTAACATGATTTTATAAAATGTGCTGTTGACTACTGTTTTAACCAATGATAGCAGCTATTTTTGATCATATGATAAAGTTTATTATTTTGTCGACCTTTAAGCAAAACGTCATTGTGTCATTTTACAATCATTTGCTACAATCGACTTATATATTGTGTTTAATCATGTTGTCCCTTTTTTACTATGAAGGACATTCAACTGAATCTTCATATAGGAAATGTCTGAGAACAAGTCAACATAACATAAAGACCAATAATCTGGCAATCACTCTCATTATAAAACATTCAATTGTATAACAGCCGATTAGTGACTAAAGGCATGTTATTTATCGGGTGGAGGACAGTCAGTATATGATTTGTAAAATTATATCAATTGGATTGCCGCTTAAGAGATGAAGTTATAAACTATTCAAATAAAATCAATCCATGAACGACGTTATTTTTTATATTTTTTAAGGTGACCATGATAACCTTCTCTGTTAGGCTTTTCAATTTAATAAGTTGCTATTTTCTTTTGTTTTTAGATTAATAAATAAATTTAAATACAATCATGTATTAAATATGCATATTGTTGTTAATGTATTTTAACAGCAACTATTTTATTTATTTTTTAAAAAGTTTGCGGTTTATTAGAATTTTGTCGAAGTGAAGAGCAAACATGAACAAAGTAATAACGGAAAATCAAGAATACAAAACCGAGTTTTTCATAATTAAATAGAATTTTGATACATGACAATAGGGGAAAATGGAAACAAAATATCCAAAATTATACTGAAAAATAATTTACTTCGGATAGCTGGGCATTTTGAACAACGACAGTATAATATTCAAATGTTCTTCTAGAGAATTGCATGCTCTCTCCAAACAGTCTCCTTTCTATTGATGGTTATTTGGGTCATTTAATATATAGGCATTGTGATTGTTCTATTCAATCATGACCCACCGGCGGGTTGCTTGGCTTTTTTATATCCTGGTAGCAAAGTTGTCATCTCCCTTTGAATAATATAATAACTTATACTACATGTTTTCTAGCATTATTAAATTGGCCAGTGTCGAATTTGCAAATAAGAAACTGATCTGAAATGAAATTAGATATCTAAGCTTCTAAATATCTATGCATGCTATATTTCAAGTGCCTGTGGTTAGAATCGTCTATAAAATAATTTGGGAAAATGATGGTGTTTTTTATAATTTGAAAGAAAGCCTGTGATTAATGCATGTTTCGATATAGAAATTTGCTCTGGAATTAAAAACAGTTTACGGGGCAATCTGAATAGTGAAAAGATAGGTGCGAAACAGCCTCTTTTCGTGATATTTTCATTGCACGTGTATTGCACGTGTATCTACACTCAATCCACGATATAATAAACGTAACGGTCATTATTTTCAAAGTATGCTTATGATACAAAATGGATGTTAATATTATTTTAATATGTTGTAATATCGTGTTTTATGTGAATTCTATTTACTCAAGGTTAAATAATATAGACTTGAACCCAATGGAAAAAAAGGCAAACTATGCTGGAATGAAAATGATTTTTTTTTCAAAAATAGGCAGGATAACAGATTATTCCCGACGAACACACCTATACCATCGGACACACGATCAGACCCCGCTAACTATGGGTTGTGTGGATTTAGGCTGGGGCTCACAGAGGCCAGCCGGAATTGGCGGAATATGATCTGAAATGGTCACTTATAGCATGATTTTCGGCTCAACGTCGGCAAAATACCAAAGCATTCCCGACGGACAAACCTATACCAGCTGACACATAGTCACACCTTGCAGGACACGAATATTCGTAAATCTGTCTTCATATCTTTTTCATCTTCAGTAGCGTTGATTTTGGTTATTCTGATCAGCCTGAAGAGCCAGAGATCGAGGTGATACGTAATTTGAATAAACCAATTTTTTTCACAGGTTTTAGCTAGCTGAATCAGCCGGAACTGGATTTCTGCTAGCCGGAGAAGCTGAAACAGCCGGACAAAAATGTGTTGCGGCTGTTTCGGCTGCTCCCGCTGTCTAGCTAAGTTCCTGAACATCCATTGTCTTACATGAAAAACTATTATACTTAAAGAGGAAACGAGATAAGTGAAGAATAATATGTTACAGGTAACAGCTGGTTCAGTTAAACTCAAGAAACAATTGATGAAATCATGCTGTTTTTGTAAATGTATGGTAATTATTTAGGATATACAATAAAAGCGTGTTTGGCGTGAGGGATGTTGCACTTTTGCATTACAGTATCCCTCATGTTCAGACTCAGTCAAACCGAGTCTGCAATCTTCATGTAATTTTGCTGGTTTTAATGCTTCCGGGGGGGGGGTTCCCTTTCTTTCAGGTATATTGTAACTCACGTATCTTACTGAATGACAGTCGTCAAATCAGACGTTTATATAACAAATGACGTTATAACTAAAACTGGAGGTAAATTAATAATATCTTGCAAAAGAGATCATTGTGAACTTCATGCAACATAGTATCATATTAAGACACATGAATGAATTACAATCATGTTATGTCAGGAATGAACAATATACTGCTTGAATGTTGAGTAAGAAGTATCAATCTGTAATCTCTCACGGTCTTTTGAATCATATAGTAATTAAGGTTTACGGCTAAAATTTATTTTTACGCAGATATAAGCATCCGAAAGCTGTTAAAAGACTCGACTGTGTTTAGAAAAAAAAAACTTTTATAAAAAAGTTGATCAGAAATGCTCATAGCAGCTAAACAAAAGTTGTGAAATATATCTCTATGGAAAATATCAAGATAATTGGGGGACTCCGACTTGTTTATTGTTAAATGTACTCGAGTTATTATATACGGACTTTCTAACGATTAAAATTGACATTGAAATCGGTCACATAATTAATATAAGAATTCTGCTCATTCATATTTAGGATAAAATATCTGAACTTTCAGTTTGCTCCCGACAAATCAAGAACATCGACTTATCGAAACTGAGCACAAATATGTTCTTTTTCATTCAGTTTCTATATAGAAATCTGGTAAAAATCTACTTGAATGAATTTGAGTTTATAATACTCACCACTGGAGTCCTTCAGAAGAGTACTAGTAATTTTAGATTGTGTATGATAGTGCAAGATACGGGTAATTCCAGAAACTACTCCTGGTTCTTTAACGTGCCAAGTGTATAAACATTCATACACGTAAACTCGTTCTAGAATTGCTAGAATTGAATCATCCATTTTTAAACACTTCCTTGCTAGAATTATCATCAACAGGATGTAATTTTGTATGATTTATCCTTTGGAGAAAAAACATTAATTCTAATAACTATCATTAGAAATAATAAATTTAGCGTTCCATATTTTCTTTGATAACTGCACATGTAGTTGTTGTACTTAACTATTCAAACTTTATACCACAACTTTTACAGATATTTGGACATTGATATATCACAACGCCGAATAAGAAAGAGGTGCAACTTGTATTGTATTCTTTGTACATAAATATACTTTTAGTTTCAGTATGTTCCAAAGAGTCCAAATAAACTAATTTTAATATGTTCTTACATTGCTATGCTTTATGGGAAGACTATATATAAATATTGCCAGACGCTAAAATGAAACAGTACTTATCAACTCAGAATACATAGCATATTGCAGCCATTTTTTTCGATTTTGTTTTTGTTCGCTTTATTTATTGAACAAGGCTGTGTGCATTGAATGTAGATATGAATGTAGCTATGCCTTGTATTTTTATACTCTTGCACATTTTTTTTAATATGTCATGAACCGTCATTAGGTATTGTCGCAAAGTATATTTGTCACTGAGTAAATTAAATGTTTTTATGGCCATTGGCAACGTTTTCAGACATTCAAGAGATGAAAAAATGTTTTTTGGAGGTTATGTTTTTATCCTTTTAATTTGCTAAATGTTTTGAATCCTATATCATCGGGATTACATTTATACATACACTGATTATAAATGATAGTACTCTTCACGTATTGTGTTCTATTCACGTGTTTTAAACATAGAACCTTTCAGTTACAAATCAGATACAATGTACCTGTAAAAGACGGGCATAAGACAACTAAGAAAGAGAAACGCTTTGTAACCGACTAGTATCTTTAAAGTGCTCTTACAATGTTCATTATACTATGAGGGCGTTTTCTGTCTTAACACTACAATTCTATGCTCATGAAAACTAAAATACTTCATTTGAAATTTAACTTGAATAAAAGAATACATACAAATCATATAATTTTTTACCTTTTTGAGCGCCATTTACCAGTTAATAGTACTGCATGAATTCAAACATTACCCGATTAAATCTGATTAAAACGTAAAAAAGACCTTTAACTGCATAAATAACATGTGATTATTCATTATATGTCATAGTTTATCCAACAAATATTTGCTGTGTGTCTGTTTGTTTTGTCGTACAATTCCGGTTGCAAAAATCATCGTGACAGCAACTATGGCATACAGACATAGACCTCGTCTCAAACTGTACATCACTTGCCCTACTGTTAGTTTCAAAGGAACATTGCTGTAAACATAAAGTTTTAAACAATCAAATTTTGTTTTCAAATGTTACATTTTCAAATGTTTTTTAAGAATATCTGTTGTCGTTGTGGCTACATATCTTTTCTGTGGTTACAAATCTACCCTTGCACCGATTGGCAACAGATTTATTCAGTAACAACATGCTCATTTTATTGATAAAAATAGGTAAGTTGCAAGTTCAGTTAAATGAAAGTATGTTTGGAATACTTCGTATAAAACATTTAATCACGATATATAATTAACCACAACAAATTGCAGTTACCGATATTAATATGTACTGAAACACCTTTCAAGTGTTACCTTCGTTGTTAATCGAGCAGCAATAATACATTAAAATAAAATGTATCGTAAAACATGTTTCAATAAATTTGTGTCACATTTTATTCATAAAGGAATAAAATGAACTACAAAAATGAGACGTGTTAAAAATGTTTCATGGAAATGTGATATGATTACAAAAAAGATGATGTACTTACAGGTGTACTTTCACATCCGAGGTGGTACAGATATGCATCGCCCCATTTTAGTTTTTCGATACTACATGACTAGAAAGAAGATTGGAAAATGCATCAATTGTCTCTTATATATAAACATAAAAGGTATTTAAACACGTTGAACTCAACCACGTTATATTCATTTAGTGATTAAGAAAATGACAAAATCTTTTTGTGAGTATATTTCTGACGATCATGGTTTCTTCATGTTGAACTAATAGCCAGAGAATTTAGTTGCTTGTGACTTAGATTATCGCGTCTTAAATATATTTTGGTTGAATGGTCATAAAGTAAACATCCGTTTTTATTGGAATTTATTGCATATGAATTTGTGTCAAAATGAAGCAAACAGACGATAAATGCATGCAAAAAAGGCATATTTAACGAAAACGAATTAAATCAATAAAACACAAAACAAATGGTAGACAGATCTTAAACACTATAAAGATATTTCACTGTCCATGATGATGAGTATATAAAAAGGCGGGCAGGATCAAATTTCTCAGATCATAAACGTAGAATGGGTTTGTGTTTTGATTTTTCTTAAAATCAAACACAGCTTATTTATTGTATGCTTTATGACTTGTATAATATAATTGAATAAAGGTAAAATATTTTCTCAAGGGCAAGTACAGCTTGGAATGTAAGGATAGCTGAGTTATTGTTATTCTTGGTTCGAGTTTGTTACAATTACATTAAGTTGAAAATTTCAGATCATTACAGTATTTGTTCAGGGTAATAAAATAATAACAAATACTGTATAAGTACTTATTTTGGCGGGGGTTTGTATATATATGTTTGGTTTATATTTGGCTATATTGGCGGTCAGGGTCAGTAGCGCCAATTCAAAACACCGCCAATTTAAAGCACCGCCATTTTAGATCATCGCCATTATTCTTTGAAAGGTAGACAACTCATGGTAAAATAGCTTTGGTTTGTCCGAGTAATCTCCCTTGATTATTTGTAATAAAAATAAACATTACAAGTAAGCTGAAAAGAATTTGTTTATTTTTAAGTCTTGGTACGAAACTCATTTAATTATATATAGAAACAAATCTAAATGTCATTTATTATCGAATTTAAGTAAACTAGTATTTGTTTCGTTTTCACTGTTATGTTTCATAATTTGAAATAAAACTAATGATAACTGTAATTATATAGCAATCAGTTGTGGTGACCGTGAACAATTGTTCACGCTTTAAAGACTGCAGGATAATAGGGCATACAAAGGTGACCAAGCATAGGTATACCGTATGCCGTAAAATAAACGAGGACAGTCAACTACTGCGTGACCGGTGTTATTTTTATTTATTTTTTTTATTCTTTATTTGTAATCGCCAATTCATGACCCCATATTTATGCCAACAAGTGTTTTAATTTGGCGGTCTAAAAGCGTTTGCGCCAATTTATGACCCCGCCAATTCAAAACACTTTAAAAAACGCCAACATTTGACACCGCAGATATAATGCGCTATACAGTAGGTTTGTGAGTAACAAAAAAAATATCATCCCTTGTAAAAAATACTGCTGCGTCGGGTAACAGTATTTTCCTTGGGATGATATTTTTTCTGTTACCAACAAACCTAAGTGTTATTTATATAATACGGACTTTTTAAATGAAAAAAATGAAAGAAACGACATTACGAAATATTTCTGAGGTGCATTTGAGAATATCGTTTACTTACAAATGCGATTTAGGAATATTAATGTTTCAATTAAATATCAAAGAATAACTTTAATATTCTCATTTAAATGCTGTTTTCTGCATAAGTGGGTCCTTGTGTGTATGATGGTAGTTTGCATTCTTCACTAAAATCCTTCAACAGACTTATTTTAATTGCGCCCAAACTGAGCCTGCAACAATTTTAAATTTGCCCTTTTACGTGTGAGTATAAACATTAAGGTCAAAGTAAAACCGGTCTTGTTTTATTATTATGATTCTCTACGCTTAACATGGATCTTAAATAATAGATTCTAGATTTGAAATAAAAGTACACTACCTCACCAGAAGAGCAAAATGCTATTTTCTCACAATCTACCGGATCTTTTACACGAGCACAGTCGAGACATAGTGGACCTCGTGACTGACGAGGCGGCAACGCTTTTTATAACAATAATAATAAAAAATGTAATATATTGTTTTCAAGAATTTATACTAGACATTCAACATTTGTTACAATAAATACTATTTTACATAGCCTTAAATCTTACATTAGTTCATTACAATAAACTGTTTGAACATATACTCTATTATGCTTTGTTACTTATTCTTATAAAGTACATGCTTGTGAAGAATATCTAGCATCAAAACTAGATGATAGGTATATCTGTAACAAGACATTGAAGGAGAGATTGGAAATGTATCACAAACGAAAAGTGTTACTTTAAAACCTACATATGTTATTTCAATAAAGGTGTTATTAAACTGAAAAAAATAAAAGAAAATAAGTTAATTCTAAGTTGATACTTTCTTCGCTAGTCTTACCACTAATTCCGTCTGATTATACAGAAATTTATTGAATTCCGGTAAATTATAAATTAATACTGTCCTGTTGAAAAATATATCACAGCAAAATCTTGCCATTCCAATAAGTTTTTATTGAATTGAATACGCAATTTATTGCTGTAACTGATATATAACCATATTATAACCACTTAAATGTATCTTTTAATTAAATTGTATAATGGTATTTGTAAATACACCATTACTTTATTTACCTAATCCACCACAACCTTGAGCATTACAAAAACTGTTGTCACAGCACTGAAGACAGCTATTTGTTCCATTGAATGCCACGCTGTGTTGGTTACATATCTTAAAAGTTATATGAGAAGGTGTGATATAAGTTATAAAGGATATTGAATGAATGTAAGTTCAATACTGAATTTATTGCACGAGTTGAATAAAATTATATTATGCGAGCCTCTGGCGGGCATAATATTATTTATTTAACGAGTGCAATAAATTCATAAATGAACTTACACGAATTAAATATTCTTTTTATCACATACCCAAAATAAAGACCGTTTAAAGTGAAATAAGAGTCATTTCTTCATTGACGCGCCTATAGTATAACGCTTCTTTACACTATGTTTGTAGAACACTAATGACGTCATGTCAAAATATATTCACGGCCGTGCAATACCATATTTACGGAGTCGCAAAATCGGCACGCGTGTGTGATAAAAATCATTATTTTATATTGATAGTAAGGTTATTAGGTGTTGGGAAATGACCTAAAGCAAGTATTGCAATGCTCGTCAGATTAATTGTCAGGTTGCCTACACAAAAACATAGGTGAAAATTCATAAGAAAAATATTCTTTTCAAAAGTTAAGAGACAATTTCAAGTTATAGATCAAACACCTAGTACATTTACATAAACAAGCAAACACGATTTGCAACATTGTCTAACGATTCATTTTTCGCTTGGCTTACAACCAGCATAAGGAAATGGAAATAAATGCCTTACATAAATTTGTTCCATTTTTTCAATATACTTTTTGTCGATTTTACACAAAAAGACTTTATGATTGATAAAGTGACGGCATACCTGTTTATCTTTACATCCAGACCTGTAGTATTTTTTACCATTACCCAAAGTATAGCTCTCGACAAAACATGCCTGTAATTTATGTGATGCTAATTTTGATAGATGGTTTTAGTTTTCAAAATTGCAAACAAAGAAATATTTAAAAAAAAATTATTTTAGAAATTTAACTCTGGATGAAACATTGTCTGTAATACTAGTAACATATTTTATATAATATTGTCAATTACAAAACGTTCAACAACATGCAAATACATATAAATCAAAAGCACCTGAAAGGCAGGACAATATATGCCCGAATGTAAATTTGTCTGCGTAATCAAAGTAAAGACCAAATCAAGAAACTTTTCTGAAAAAAAAATGTTTACTAAGCAATGTTTAATGTGAAGCGTTGGCCTAGTGATAATGGGTTCGAGACATACTTTGGTCACGGTCATGTTATATCCATATTATATTTCCTATCTAAGTCTGCACACCGACTTACTACAAGTAATATTTCTTCCAAAAATGTACAAATTTCTTTCCATTGGTTCAAAAGATGCAGAGAGGACACAACATTTTGAAATTGCTACAAAATGATTAAGTGTGCCATTGACGTGAGATAGGTCAAACCTGCGCTCTGCACATCATCGTTTTATGGTTAACATTTCTGCAAAGAAGTTCAGTTTCCTTTCACCGGTTCTAAGACGGACGGACGGACAACCAAGTGCATAATATTATACGCCGAAATTCTTTTCGGGCGTACAGAAAATATTGTCCCAGCATGGGTAATTATTATTGAAGCTTGTGTCTAAATGGCTAAAGGTACTCACTATCTTCATACTTTTGTTAATTTTAGCACGCCATTTAGACTTCTCATGGTATACATGATATATTTGCATAATACATAGTATACTATAAAAAGGTACGAGGCAATACTTATAGAACTGTCTATAACTACAAAGAACATAGATTTGAATAAAACTTGCGTATAAGGTCACTCACCTTGCTAATTGTAATACTTATAATTATGCTGTTGACAAATGTTTGAAAGGACCTTTTTGCTGGTATAGTGAAAAACTTAAGATTATGTCTTTGAGAAAATTAAATCAATAATTTGAATTTGATTGGATTTTACCGAAATGTAAAAAGAGACATTTTAATATCTCGTAGGCAATTTATATGAAGATTTATAGAAATATAAAACGTGTATGTTTTATTTGCATTAACTATGAAATTGTTTACAATTGTAACGATCCAACATTTTTGTCATTTATTTATCTATACACCTAACTTTATTATATAAACATATTAAATTTCATAATATAAAGAAATGAATACCTGGTTACCATGGCAGCGTTCAATAAAGTCACAGAATGAAGGATCTATAAGGTCCTTGCATGAAAAACATACAATATCTGTACTGTTTGTTAGTTCATCTAGAAATAAGTATATATGCAAGGATTAATATTGGAAATTGGTAATTTCATTTTACAGAACTGGCTACAAGTTAAAAATCCAATTTGAAATACAGTTAAACAGGTACCTTACATATGAAGATTAAATTCATCAAGTACTTAACATTAAAAAAATGCTGAACAATTAAGTGTTTAGATGTGTCTATTCTTTCCTCACCTCGTCGTCTTTGTAAGACCTGTTGAGGATTTATTATATGACTGAAATACTGTTGGAATAAGGCGTAAAATGAAACAAACACACAAACAAACAAAACCACCATGTATGGAATATTTCTTGCAAATTCATTGTTAATTAACGTAATTATTATTTTTCAATTACACATAAACATATCTGGGCCTATCATGTTTTTTAAATGGATGTAAACATATATTGAAACTGCATAATTTAAAATATTACAAAGAAGGTTCAGTTTGTAAATTCTTGAAATGTTTGGTTTGGGCAATTCTTAAAAGTCACGATGCAAATTAATCATTCATTTAAACAAGATTTGTGATTTGGGGAAAATAACATGCGTACAATTACCGGCAGTTCTTGTTAACATGCACTCCCTCCGAAAATATGGATAAATAACGACACCATTTTATTTTGTAAATAAGGCCTCGACCCAAAATACACGTCAAATAAACTCAAATTGATGAGGTTATTTAGCACCGATGTAAACACTATACAACCAGTCTGACAGGTAAGCTAAAATTGTTATAAGAAAGATATATTAAGGGAAACCTTTCTTATAATTTCGTTTCTGTTTTGGTCTTAGTAACGGTAGGGGGTGCAGATACGAAAATCGGCAGCGATAATATTCTCTGTTTGAAAAATAGCTATTGTAAATTGTCTTATCTTGTTTTCTTAGAATCGACTTTATTTTGGCCTGAGGGGTGTTTATCGGCTGTTTAACGCCGGTTTGACGAAGTCAATTCCTTCACAACAAATTTTAAACCGGTGTTAAATAGCCGAATAGCCACTGAGGCCGATATTATTTCCTCATTTTACTTTTCATGGACACAGATCAATATCATACGTCAGCAATATCAAGATATGTTTAACTCTACTAAATATCTACCTGTTTCACATTTTGGTCCTGAAAAACCTGGTTTGCAACGACAAGACGTTTTAAAAGGCGCCAATTTTAAATCCGCTACACAATTCCCACTGTTTGCACAAATCTCTTCACGACATGGTGAGAAAACTTTATGAAAAGAAAATAACAAGTGCATCTATTGCGCATGCCTTCCCGATATATGACTACATAAACAATCTTATGGGAGTTAGAATTTGTAAAAAGGCACATGACGCCCTAAATCGAATACACATTTTAATTTTAAGAACAAACATGTGTTTTGTAATGTTTTAATTATTGTTTTAGAAATATAAGATATTTATCTTGTGTAGAAAGTAGCACTGAATTTGAAATAATTTCTTTTAATAATTTGAAATAGCAAAATGTAATCAAATTAGTATTTTGACTTCAATACGAAATACCAAATCACTATATTATTTGCGAAAAAGGAACAGAAGCTAAAGATGGTTCAGGTAAACGGTCAATGAGTAACTTTTTGGAAACTGAAAAATTAGAAGATTTTAGGGGGAAAATAAACGCATTTCTTAGTCATAATTTATACATAAATCTAATAAACGACATTCTCAGCATGGAAAAGGGCATTATATATAGTAGTAAAGTAAGTTCATTGTTTGAATATAACATGAATATAATATATCATAAAAAGTGAGAATTTACGTATATTTGATTGGATATAACTTTCTCTGATAGTTCTTCATACAACATAAAATAGAAAAAGAATATTGTTTCAATTTACGTTAAAGGATATGGGCAAATACTAAAAGTAAAATGATGTTCACAGTATGCATATGTCTTTTACGATAAGTTAATATAATAATAAAGAACTTAAAAGGAGTGTGCTAAATAAACATAACCTTCGTCGTGAAGTAAGTAAAGCAAAAAAAGTAACAGGAATTACCTTCTCCTCTAATGTCTGTAACCACTTTGACGTTGTAGCAAATTATTTCACCCTTTTTCCTGTTGGAAGATATTAAACAAATTTTGTCAGATTTAAGAATTGCTATGTCGAAACCTTATATTACATTAGCATAGTTTAATACATGTATATACACAAATCACTTAAAAGCTTTAAAAAATTTACAATTTAAAGTGTGTGTTATAGATAAGTATAAGAAGTATTACTTAAAACGTTTATACAATAATAAAGTGAATATGCATATACCCTGGTAAAGACACCTGGAGACAAATTTGATGTTCGCCAACTTTCGACGGTGTTAAATAAGCCACATCAGCATAACACTCGGTAGTTTGTCTTTTAATATCAAATACATGAACACTCTTGGCTACGTTTTCACTTGTGACACTCAAACTAGGGCTGCATTAGCATAGAAACATCGAAAACGGTTATTTACAAATATAATTTTCTCTAATGTTTTGTAATTTGTTAGTCCTTAGTAACGTTACTTTTTTAACTTGTCAATTTGGAATTTGTTATTTGATGACAATGATTTTGTATTCTTATATTTTAGCATTATTAAAATCTTTTGTTCATATTTGCATTTCTGTTATTTATTGGTTTTGACGTATAGATATTATTATTAAAAAAATATCTCTGATTGCTAAATTGTAACAAATCTTAATTACCATCTCCCAACATAGCCAAATTGATCTCCAGAAGTAAAATGCATATCAAAATGACAAGGTTTTCCAGTCGAACACAGAACAGTACCATCTGATGACAAAGTTGGTGGAAGAAAATAAGGAAAGTACTGCAAATATGATCAACCAGCATAGATTAATATTTTGACATCAAAAATTATATAAGTACATCAAATTTGTTCGTTGAATATTGAAATAAACATTGTGAGTATGAAATGAATCATCAATTGTATTAAAAAAGTAAGGTTCTAAGTCAACATTTTTATTTTACGTTTTATATGAATCAGTTTAAATACCTTGTTGATTTTCTCTGCAGCTGTACCTGAAAATTTGCAATTATAAAATATACTATATAAGTTTTGTAATTGAACAGAAATGACTGAAAATATTCATTCGCACAAATCATATTTTTTCCCTCTCAATATATGTCTTTCAGTATCTGTTGTTGTTTTTATTTCAGTTAAGCTGGCAATATATAGAATTCTGCATTAGAAATACTAATATTTCATATCAAATCAAAGTTTACATGAAGTTCACAAAGAAACAATTTATAAAACTCAGGTCATACAAATTAAGTAAAATATTTTGAAAATTAGTAAATATAGGGGAATACGTACTCAAAACATTCACGTTGACACATATTTCATCATCTGTTTTGCTAATAAAAATAAAATATACACATCTATCAAGGAAACATGCCTTTTTTATTTAGAGATATTAATTATATCATTTACTAAAGATCAGGTTTAATAGTACATCTCAATCAATGGTACATAAATGAATAATGAAATATTGTTTAGGTTCGAAAGTCCGATATTTTCCAAAGGATGTATTAAAAGTTTATATTTTCGTTAGAATACGTATGTAAAACTTGGAATAATGCAGGTAAATATTCAAACCTTTTTGTAATAACTTGCAAACAAAACTTAAAATTCCCAACAGCATCCGGATTTGCAATAACTTGTCCTTGATATATGGTTGTGGATTTCCCAAGAGCTTTAACCATTGGTATGTCCAAATTCAAATGTGGATCGTTATAACCAACTGATGTCATTGGACTATAAAATTAATGTTTAAAAAACTGATATAAAAAATCTTCAAATTTCTAAATTTTGCAGTTAAGACTGTTACAATTCTAAAAGTATCCAAATAGGTTTGCAACTTCAACCAAAACGTAAGTTCGAATGCTTACATTAATAGGATCATCATATATCTCTCACTATAAGTTGTTTTAAGTGTGTGTTTTTTAAGAATAAATCAGCTATTAGATTATAACTGATAATATGCCCTCTTTTAAGTAACAAAAGGCCATTATTAAAACAATCTTTAATGGATCATTAAATTGTATTCATTTTATCAAAAGTTATTTTGAACAATTGTGGAACATAGTTTATTGATATAGGCATTTATTTTCAGCGGGGATTAGTCAGGATTATGAGTTTTATTTTAGTCCATTAAGGGTTGCTTTAGATATGACCTTTTGTTACTTAACAATTGACAATTCACAATCTTTAATGGATCATTAAATTGTATTCATTTCATCAAAAGTTTTTTTAAACAATTGTGGAACATAGTTTATTGATATAGGATTTTTTTACGGGGCTTAGATAGGATTATGAGTATCACTTTTGTCAATTTAGGGTTGCTTAAGATATGGCCTTTTGTTACTTAAAAATTGGCTTTTAAAGAAAAATTGTGATATTGAGCAACATTTTACAAGTGGTTGTATTGAAACTCAGTATTTATGTATAACATTTTAAATGTCATGGTCACCAAATATTATCAAAATCATTACAAAAAATATTTATGGCCCTTTTTAAAAGACATTTACCATTTTGAGCCATATTGTTATAAAAGTGTAATAAATTGAAATGAACCTCCTAGCATGAATGTAGAAAACAGAAAGGATATAGTGCGTTTTAATTATTGTTTATATATAAAAATCTGGAAACAAAGTGATTCCTCGAAAGCATTAATCATAACAAAATTACAAGAGAATTGCAGACTCGGTTTGATTGAGTCTGTACATGAGAGATTATGAATATGTGCAACATCCCTGTAAATCTGTTTTATTATGACCCTTTGGTATTTTAAATACTCGGGCAATTCAATACCAAACAAGTACAAATGTTGCTGCAATGCAGCAATTGAGAAGCTCCGCGCAAAAAAAATGTGCTCATTACAGATACCTTACCAAATTATTCCTACGCACAGGTCATGTTATATTCAGGTTAAGTACTATTGTAGATTTTTTCCGAATGTTTTGTAAACCATTTTTTTGCATAATTATACTTATCTTATGCACTGTCCATAATTAAAAAGAGGGGACATTTTTTAATATAAAATGCTTTTACTGATGCCTACCTGGTAAGGAAAGTAATTTCACTGAATACAAAAAAGACTTACAAGACTTGTAAATGTTATGTGACATGACTGTACTGTGTTCTGTTTCAGTAATAGAAGATAGATGATAGAAATATCAAAGTCTGTTATAATTGTAACAAATATACAAATAGTAACAAAAGGGACTAATATTATAATATAGTAATATTACATGCATATTTTTTCATGTCAAATTAAAAAAAAAGGTTTCTTTCAATACTGAAAGTAGAACACACTCTGGAATGAAAAAATGGGATGAATTTCCAAAAGACCAAATTCAGGATTTTTTTTTGTTTGTTATACACGCGTTACATGTTGATACAGTATTTATCAATATAATAGAAGACTGTAACCTGAATTTTAGGTAGGTATGAGGAAATTCACTAATATCATATTCGTGCGAGACAAAGATATGAAAGCTAATTGACATTGGTAATATATAAAAAAAAACTATTGTTAATTAATTTTAGGGATATCAATATATATTTTTGTTGAATTGCTTTAAAACCATTCATAAAAAACATAACACTTCATGTTCAAACTGCAGATCAAAGTTTCTGTTGTTGTCATTATATCTATCTATAGCCTATGCTTAAGGTGATTCCGCTATATTTTAAGGACAATTATAAACAAAAATAAAAATGATAACAATAAGAATATTTACCTGTTTATAATTGTCCTTCAAATATAAACCTGAAAGTGTATTTTCAAATGGTTCATCATTTTACAATAAGAGCTTTGTTGTTATATAAATTTTGGCCTACTTTCACTTTGCACAGACTTTGTGAAAACAAACTTGGCTGACAAAGCGGAATCACCTAAATGAGGGTCCATCCGCTCTTAAGGTTACAAAATGCAGCTTTCGCTGTCGAGTACAGACCCCCCGAACATGTCACCAGTCATACCATTATCACAAAGTGGTATGCTGTACCAATGACGCTAATGAAATGTAACCTTATATACTAAAGTTTAATTATTTCAAAACAACCAATATATCAACATGTTATTATTAAACATTTAATTTCATAAATATAAATTAAGAATAATTATCAAAAGCAAAATTGTTAAAATATTTTGCCTGAAATCTTCTTTATATTGACAAATTCAATCACTAATAGTATACTTGATATGCTGTGTGTAAATGTATTTCAAAATGTAACAAATTATAATTTCATGTACTGTACTACTAAAAAAGGGAAATAACAAATTTATAACCTAAGTGTCAAAAATCAAAACATTTATAGCTATTTATAGCTTTCGAATTTATGTAACAGCAGAACTGCATTCCGGTTCTCATTCATTAATATGACATGCTGCGAATCACCGACGGGGAAACCAATATAGAAATCGAAAGGAGTTCTTGAATGCGGATTTACTTTTAGCTGTTAATCGAAAGGATTTATTGCTCAAATCCGGGCCCATGGACAAAAAAATAGTAAACACAAATAGCTCCGCGCCTGTGGGCGCGGAGCAATAACAGTTTTTTTCCAAATGGTATATTAGAATATACTTAAAGTCAATATGATTATATGCTATAACAAGGAAGGATTTTGATCTAATACTTCCGAAATCTAATTATGATGTATGTTTTGAGTAATCTCCCTTTAAAATTTAAAACTTGTTTTTAGTAATGTACTCCACCAACAAAGAAAAGAATATTTATAATTAATATCTCAATAAACTGTAAAAAGATTACTCACATTATTCCTGTCTTTGTAACAATTTGGAATGGTATACCACATGTTTTTCCGATCACACATTTAATTTCAGACGGCAGTGCAAGGTCTCCAATTAAGCTCTTAAAGTACAAAACTATTTTAGTCATATCAGATTTAAAATAAAAACAAAACAATCATCACGTAAGCAACGCGAAAACACGATAATATTGTTTTGATATTTGCATTCTACCATGAATGAATAATCAAATGGCACAAGTGACTAATGATTTCCGTGTACATTTTGTAGAACCTATCGATTACGTTTGAGTCCAAAACTACTAGGGCAGTATTTGGTATTTTTTCGAAAATATCTAATTGGGTACTCGGATTAAAAGGCAACTTTGAAACAATATATATTATGAAATTTCATCTAAACTTAAAAGCGGGAAATTAGCATAAGTTCAACAAAATGAGAAAAGGTATGTTTAATCGTCAATGTAGTACAACATGCACAAAGTGGTAATTCAAAATTGTAGAATCCTCCCCTACCTGTGTCTGGTTCTGTGCAAAGGGACTGTCGACTTGAGCTTTGGGATAAAAAGGAATATTCATTTATATTGTACCTTACATATGAATGCATGAATAAGCAAGGCGCATTTTAAACATCGAAGCTTCATATCAAATAAGAAATATACAAAATACACATTATCTAACATCAATATTAATAATATCTGTCATGTGTTGCGGTTCAGATCGGAATATACGTCCCGAGGGGACCCCGCCCATTGGGTGGTAACGAGGCTTGCCGAGTTACCGCCCATGGGCGGACACCAGAGGGACGGATATTCCGATCCGAACCGCAAACATATGTAAGATATTTTTTCTTTCATATTCTGCCATATTATTTGATATTAAAAATGGTTTAACTCAATAACATGTTTGTTCATGGAAATATATGTCATTTTATCCATAACTATTTTCTTACAATAGCGTATGAATTTACAACTTTAATAACAACGGCGAAAAGACGTCATCCTAAGCACATATTGCTCTTCTAAAACGACATTTCAACGCGGTTCATTTATAAAGTGCGCTAAAATGATGTTGTTGTTTGGCACGAGACTCATCTGGCACCCCCATGCCAGATGAAATTTCCGCCATGGATGAAACTCACGGAAAGTCGCGGAAACGCCAGTCTGCTATGCAAGAATGCTGGTTTCAATAATGTAAATATGAATTGCCAAGGTAGGAGTATCTTGAACAACTTTATGTTACGTTAGTAGGGAAATTAGGAATTGGTGTCACCTTGTTCACAATGTTGTCCTGTAAATCCACAAAAGCAAATAGGATTAGCCGTATCATGGCCATCACAAAACCCACCATTTATACACTCGAGCGTCTGACAACCTTTCTGAACTGTAAAATGCTTCATTTTAAGTAATGCAAACTTAAGTAATGCAAACTTGTACAATAAATCTATACTAAAATGTCCTTTCATTTAATACATAAGCAAAGATAGATTGTATTTTTTGTTAAAATGATAATTTATATATTCAAAACCTATTAAAAAGGTCTTAATTGCTATATAAAAATTGAATATAACGTATTTTCATTTTATTTTATAAATTTAGGCTTAATGTGTTCATTCTTGAACGGAATCGAGGTTCAACTAATATTTTTCGAACATATTGCCGAAATTAACATATAAATTCTTTAGATATTTACCGTCAGTATTTGGATCAATCACATGGATGTTAAAACATCGCTCTTCACCCTCTGTTGAATAACTAAATTGATAAAAAGTGAAATGGTGGCTAATGAATGCTTCATAATGTTTATCTGAGCAAAACAGATTCAAGCAAAATTTGAAAAGGCAAAACTGCAACACTAACGTGACATAAACACGGAGCATTTAAGGGGTTATCGTTTTCGCCTTATTAATGTCTGGAATGATCTATGAGCATGAAGAGCCGTCCCGTTATAATAACCATTATCTAGATATAATGTGTGATTTCCCAATGCAGTCCACGTCAGACTGCAGTCTTATCAGGTTATAACCAACATTTAATGTATTTTTATAAACATATATTTATTTTAAAAGTTTAATCTTGTTTCTTTACAATAGACCAAATGCACCACAAAACTTTCAATAACTGCCAACTTGCCTACGCCGATCTATTAAATGTTTGTTACCTTTCATCATTTTACCTATGCGGCCTTGCATAAATCAGTAATCTTATAAGGAAGAAAAGCAATCTGTTAAAGTTATCTATATTGTTTTAATGTTATATGTAATATTTGTCTTTACAAATTGCATCATGCGAAATCATCATGTTAATTACCAATTATTCCTAGATATGTTACCTTTTAAGTCCAACAGATAAACAAAATCTTCTTATGGTGTTGTTATCAGTGATATTATTTATCACTGAGATGTCGACAGTACAATAACCGTTGTGAGGCTTGCCGGGAGTACAATAATCACATGAAGAATACAGGTGATAGTTGACAAAACCAGCAGGTGGGTTGGTTTGAAATGTTACACTAGAAGGCAAAAATACAAATAATACTGATGCATATTTTTTTTTATCACATATACATTTAGAGATAATTCGAAATCAGCATTATTTGTTGTGTTTTTTAGTAGAAAACTCTTCGATAAAATCAACAATGATACATGCATAAGTACAACAAGAAAATCATTTATAAAGAACACAAATAAGGTAAGCAAAGGTGCATACCAATATATTCCTGCATGTTAAGACTTAACTCTTTTCGCTTTTACTTAATAAAAAACAACATAGCTGACGAAAATCTTGTTTGCTAACTTTTAAATGAGGATATATATAAAAATAAAATTTTTTAGGATGTATATTTGACTCAATAATGTTTTATTGAGTAAATAAACAAAATGTAGCATATACTTGCCATTCATTTTCATTTCCATTGCCAGGTGTTACATCATAAAGAACATGACATGGGCCACCAGCTAAACACTTGACCTCAGCATCATTAGGTAGACTAGGATGCAAGAAGTGTGGTCGATCCTAACATATCAAAACATGTCTTATTTCGTAAAGAAATATATAAATAGTGTAAGCAACATTTTGATTACAAAATGGAATTTATCATCAACTATTGTTTCATTATTTAATCATTGTTTTGTTGGTCTAAACATGAAACACACATGGGCATAGTAAGCTACTCGAAAATAGTATGATCCAAATATATTCAAAAGAGATATCTCAACATAAAAATCATAGTAAAAGTATAAATTTGTTCTACTTGCGTTAAAAATCCCTTCAAAGATCGAAATAGTTAATAAAAAGTATGTATAATATATGACACGAGGGCTGTCCAGAAAGTTCGAAGACAAGTCTATAAAATTATTATAAGCAGTCATATCAATGTGATGATCAAAGTGTGCTTAACTATTTATCTGCTACAAATTTCTAAATTAAATAACATGATAAAAGTAATATACGCAAAGCACTAATACCATGGCAACATGATCAACGAATTACGGAGCACTTTGATTTCATGACGATAACTACACAAATAATAAGTTGCTAAAAGTTGTAATTTTAACGCAAACTCTTGTTTTAATTTTGTGACATCAAAGGATACTATTGCATGATATTTAGTGAAAATAATGACATCATACGCAAATAAACAGCTTGTTATCAACAGTGATGGGCAAAGAAGGTGTGTAAATTTTGTGTTGCAAATATGACGTCAAATTCAAGGTACGTATAAAACATTTATTTTTCAAATATTAGAATCAGGAATAATCTATGAAATCCGTTGTTGTCTTATAGAATTTATGAAAAAGGCTAAAATAACTGAAAGAACAACATCAAAAATTATTAATTAAAAAAATAAGTGAGTTGAACACCGGACCTATTGAATCTTAAGCGAACGTGCTTCCTCTAACCCATAGGTTATAATATTGTTATAAAGAAAGTAAGAAGCAAACAAAATGAGTCTAAACTTAGAATTTTCATTAAGGCATGTAATCATAAACCGATGAATGTCAACGAAAAAAAGAGAATGGAAACATTTGTTAAAGTCCGACAGAGTTGTTGAAATAACGGATGTCTCGTTTATAAAAAAGTATTGTCGCTTCAAATTTTTCATTAAAGCATTAATATCTTGATAATAAGCAGGGAATAATTTACCTCATAACTATACAGTAGACTGACATCTGAAACAAGAAAATTAAAGCATTGTGACGCCGGGCAATCAAATTGTTTGTTTTTTTTTTTGTAACGAGTGGAAAACATATTTAATTAGATATTGTTTTTCGTGAACAGATTCGAAAGTAATATTTCAAAATATCAAGAAAATAACTGAGATTTCAATTCTAATAAAACGCTCGATTCAATAGCTTTAATACTGATTACTATTTTTCTTCTTGCTTTAAAACAATTAAATTAACATACCTGAAACCACATGTACTTTTATACATAACTCGTCTTTATTCACACTGTTAAAATATCGAAAAGGAATTAAAAAAATCAGAACAGCAATGTTATGTACATAAATATTCAATGTAAGGAATGAAACAAAGATATTTCAAAATAAATAAATAAAAAAATGAATGAATGAATGAATGAATGAATAAATGAATGAATAACTCATATAGTGAATAATATTTTTATAGATTAAGATAACACATCTCATAAAGCATTTTTATTTAATCTATTACTAACTTAAATAACCCTTAATTAATATCAACTTGAAATGGCACATACTTATTTGTATTTATTGTCTGAATGCAAAAATCTTTTACTCCGAGCTGTAAGCCTCTCAAAAACACATCTGTTTGAAAACTGTCTGGAATTGGTTTTCTGGCAAAAGTCTTCATTTCTTCCAATAACATTGTAGACTCGACATAACCCGGAGATACTCTAGGTCTAAAAGTTTACTATTATTAGTTCAGGTCTTAACACTGTAATTATTTGTTTTAGTTTTAAGAAACCAAGAACGAAATTCAACGTTGTTTAAAAATTATTTGAATGGTAAAATGGGCCTGGTAATAAGTATATAAATCATTGGAAGAACTAGTTATGGATATAAAAATATGGAAAACGGAAGCACCGAAAACAACAAAATTATAAGAAATAGCAGGCTCGTTTTGAGTAAGTGTGTTAATGAAATAAAATGTGCATTTTTGGTTACATCCCCTACCATCGGCTTTAGCGGTATTCAATCATCAACACCAAAGGTTTGGGAATAAAGTCATGTAAAACAATGCATTTAGAATAACTATTCAATTTAAACATAACAATTTAACTTTTTTCGTCCTTACTTATTTTCTTTTCAGGAATATCTAGCACGAGGGTTACTGTATTGGGCGGTACCAAAACTCTACAGTGTTTCCTCTAAACAGTTACCTATGCGCTAGATAGTACCGTCTGTGGCGACAGCTGGCGTTTCATTCCTCTCTTGCATATTACATTTACATTATATTTCGAAAGGAAATATGGAAAACTAATATTTTCATTTTGCACTCCTATAGATATGCAAAGAAAAACGATAAATCCTGTTGGACTTTTGCATGTACTCTCATACATATTTGTTAAATGCATGATAATCTAATAATATTTGACAGGAATATAGTTATATAAATCAAGCTTTATTTTGTTCAAATGTTGACAAGCAAAATATAAAAATAAACGTACATCATATTTGCCAGACTGGTGAGTACTAGAGAAAAACTACAGATTTGATTTATTACACAGAAGAAAGAGGTAGGCTCTGCCGTATCAGTGAATTTCTGAAACATACAAATGATACACGGTTTGGGTACAAATATTTACAAATAGAATAAAAGAAATTTGCACCGGTTTTATTATTTGAATGATATCGTAGCTACATAAAAAATTGTCAAATCAATAAAATATATCAAGAAATGGTGCAATGTAAAGACACATATACAGATACATGACCAAGAAACGTCATCTACTTGCTAAGTCGGACAAGTTCGTGATTATTGATATACCCTGATACATATTGAAAACAATTCGAAAACACACCACGTTGAGTTGCATATCCTTATTTAACAAGGAACTTGAATATTGTTCTAAAACTTACAGGAAAGGAACTTTGTAAACTTGAAGGACCTGAAAAGTTATATAAAAAAACGTGTTAGCTTGAATATATTTTACACTGCACAGTTGAAATGTGTAAACATGAACAAAACTTAAAAAGACAGCGTAAACATCTAAAAGTATTGTGTTATGTTTTACTTAGAGTTTTAAATATAAACTGTACATCAAAGAAATCAGTGCTTTTTATAATAATCACATTTAATTTCTGATTGTACCCTGATTTTAAAACACATTATGGTCATATCTTCGTGAACGACCCACCTGTCGGACTTACTTTTTTAACTTACCAGACGAGTACTTATTAATTTCTGGGCAAGTGACTGACTACAAATCCCACATAATGTTCGGATCAGCAATGAAGAACAAATGACAATAAGACTCAATGTTCGAGATCAATTGTCACTAAGAAATTACTCCTGGCTCTAAGATACAAACAGCAATTCCTGCGCGACTGATTCAATTGTGTCCCAAATGAGCTTAGTGGACAGACTAAACAGTAATAAAAGATATTCAAAAACACCTTTACTGCATTCAGGTCCAAAGAATCCGGCTTTGCAAATACATGTTGTAACACCATCGTGTACTTGACAGTAAGCATCATTCTGGCAACGATTGTCAGCTGACTGGCAAGGACCTGAATAAAATGTATTTTTAGTAACTGTAATTAATCAAAACACGATTTAACCTAGAGTAATAAAATAAACTGAAAATGAAATTGTATGACCCCAGAAAAAAGAAGCGAGCAAAATCTGTTTAAAGATAGTATTTTATAAAACAAAAAGCTTTAAGTTATACTTCAACAAAGTATCTATGTTACAGAGTACTCAAATTAAAGAAAATGCACACATGAAAATGAAAATTTATCAATTAATTTAATTGTCAGCAAATTACTGCATCGTGAATATGAAAGTATCTTATCAGAAAATTTGCAATTTGTAATGTCTGTAAAAATGTATTTATTATAAAGGTAACAATAGATTTTAAGACACATGAATTGCAATCGAACTACACATATGGATGTGTTGAACAGAATATATTCAGTTGAATTATAATCACATACTTGGTAGACATCTGGATGCTTTGAGTAAAAATTACCTCGGGGTATGAATGGAAATAATGTAAAGAGCGAATAAATAAGATGTTCATAATGCAAGAAGAGCTTTGACACATGAAAACGTAGGAAGTTTAGAAACGTTTTTACCTGTTTGGCAAAAATCACCAACATAATTGTCTTGACAAGCGCACTTATAGTTATCTTGATCTGTGCGAAAGCAATGCCCATTGTTCTGACATGGTGAGCTAGAACAGGGATCTGTGTTAAGAAAAGCACAATGACAGAGAAAAATGTTTTAATGTAAAATGACCTTATTTTTGATTTGATTATGTTTAATTGGTAATAAAGCATTTCCTGTGCTCCGGAGATTCCATTACCTTTTAGTGTTTAATTTAGAGAAATATAGAAACCTTTACATATCGAGAAATTTATATATATAATATAAAAATTTAACAGATATCTGAGCCTTCCATTATGGGTTTGATCGATTTAAGAAATAACTAACCTTTAATCTACTCGTTACAGAAATATTGAAAAGAACAGAAAAGAAAACTTACGAGCATGCAGCTTTGAAGGATTTGTTTATTTTTAATTCATCCTCAAAATAAAGGTATGCAACAATTTTATTTTCAAACAAAAAAATAGTATGATCGATTTTTTTTAAATCAAATTATAAGACATGTTACAAAAATTCTTAAAGAACCGGACTGACAGCAATGTAATTGACATTTTCTTCATACTATTCTTCAACTCACAAAGAGAAGGATTTTCTTAAGAAATGCTCGAGTGTCAAATATAGCAACCATGTTTATTCTAGGTTAATGTGTTTGATGATTTACTGATGTTTTATAGAAATGTTAAAATCATAACAGTTAGATAAATGGACAATGTTTGGCAAATTGTTTTGTTTCAGAGAAGTTCGGCAATAAAATTACAGTTAAAGGAACTCCATTGAGGTTTATAAGCCTGAAAACATAACATTTTAATTTTTCACATAGATAAACACGAGCGCTTTTAACAGAAATATAAATTAAATAGATAACTAAGAAATATACAAGAAATACATTGGAAATCGTATATTTGTGCTATTCTCAGTCCGATTTGATTGAAAAGCGTTTAAACGCTTTTCAATTTTGGGTCATTTTAAACTATTATAATAATTATTCTGGAAACACGGAGCGAGCTAATGATCTGAAAGTTTGCACATAAGTCATTAGTATAGATCTACATCAAATGGAGCAATTATCTCAAAAAATACTTCCAATCCCGTTATGTCCAAAAACCTCAGTGGAGTCCCTTTAAACAACAGGAATACTTTTTTAAAATTAAATACAATACAAAAATGGCATCTTCTTTCAAATATTGCTGGTTAAAAATAACAAAGTAACAAATAAATATGATTGAGTGAATATAAGAATACCTCGTTTGTCATTGGTATACACAAGAAATGTGTAACAAAGTTTTTGGTATTCAAACGTGCTGAAAAATAAAAGATATACGCTGAAAATATCTTAAAAAGTGATCCCTCGGGAGCATTAAAAGCAGCAAAATTACATGAAAGTGTTCTAGGTAAATGTTTTGTTTTGGGGCGATTTTCCGACAATGTATTTAAGTAAAAATGTATCAGTTTTAACAAAATACTTTTCGAAAATGTGTTTTATAAAAAGTCATTCTATATGACGTAATACGAGAAGTGGTTGAGAAAACAGCTTGACAAAAGTAAGAATAAAAATTGTCATTTCTTTTTTCAGTTCGAAATAGACAACGTTGTATTAAATAAACGTGACTATCTCAACAATGGTCACAAAATTCTATTAAAATATTATATACTATATAAAATAAAAGTAAACATTCCATAATTGAAATTTTTATTATTTTATGGAGAATTATGTAACAAAATTAAAACTTTAAAAAGCATACGCTGAATGGAAGCAAATTTCTTTTTCCCCTACACTATCAAATATGGCGGATACTTCTGTTACACAGCTTGGTCCTCGTGCGTGGGCGGGAAATACTTTAACTTCAGCCGATAATGTGATAATATTTTCACTTTAACCAAATAAACGGTATTATAAACAAGAAATCAAATATAGATAAAAATGTGTTCAACAAATCAAAATTTCAAAGCCAGTACAAACAAGCGCGATATTTGATATATATATCTCTGATGAAAAAATCAAATAGAGAAAAAAAGAATCCCTAAAGAAAGCACAACACTGCAAAATTGAAAATGTTGCATGCTCGGTTTGAATGAGCCTGTTCATGGACGATACTGTCAAGTGCAAACTACCGTCCACGCCGCCTAGCACCGGCTTAAGCAGAATTCAACATTTAACATGAACTGGTACAATTTGGAATTTTTAAACATCCGCAGATGTGTTCATATGGCGTTTATCATGGAACCTTCAATGTGACAATTAGTGTCATTCCATGAAAAGCGGCATAAGGTCCACAAGTAAAAAATGCGTGTGCCCTAAACGAGAAAACAATGGGCGAGACTAAATCAAATGGAATTTTGAAAGGGGATTAGAGGTTATGAATCCTGCATATCACAGATAAAACGTCAACAGACAAATTTAAAAAGCAGACCACATATCCTAAGGGTGATTAAACAGTATTCAAGTGAGGAATACTGGAACCACCCAACAAAAAATAGCCGAATAGAAAGAACTAAATTACAAGCCCAACAAAATGTCGTGCTGAACGATCTTTAAGGATCGGAAATATAACATCTCTGACTGAATGTACGAGGCGACTTTTTACAGCCGCCACAAGGCACAAACAACGCTGATGTGGCAATAAAATAGAGAAAAAAAGAATCCCTAAAGAAAGCCCAACACGGCAAAATTGAAAATGCTGCAGACTCGGTTTGATTCAGCCTGTTCATGGACGGTACTGTCAAGTGCAAACTACCGTCCACGCCCCCTAGCACCGGCTTAAGCAGAAAATACTGGTATTTGAATGCATTTCGCAATATTTTCAACAAGAACGGGTTGAACCGGGTGATGTTTCCGGAATAAGTTTTGGACACAGAAAAGCATACCTCTTGTAGTTTCAAACTTCAAGGTGCAATTATTCCAAAATTAGGCAAGACAGAGTTACTGTTCTTTGCACTGCTCATCTATCCAATGATATCTATCTAACTACAAAGTTTATTGTTCATATCTCTTATATTGTCAGAGGTATGTCCCGGACAAAGTTCAAAATGTAAATATGAACAAGGGGCAATTACTCCAAAATTAAGCTAGGTAGAGTTATGGTTCTTTTGCACTGCACTTCTATCCTATAAGATCTATCTACCTAATTTCATGTTGATATCTCGTATAGTTTTAGAGTTATGTCCTGGACAACGTTCAAAGTGTAAAAATGGACAAGAGGCAATTACTAAAAAAATAGGCATGGTAGAGTAATGGTTCTTTTGCACTGCACTTCTACCCAAAAGGATCCATTGACCTACAATGTTTCATGTTGATATATCTCATAGTTTTAGATTTATGTCCATGACAAAGTTTAAAGTAAAAAAAGGAACAAAGAGGAATAACTCCAAATAAGGAGAGGCAGAGTTATAGTTCTTTTGCACTGCACTTCTACTCAATCAGATCTATCTATACCTACAAAGTTTCATGTTTATAACTCTTTTGTAACCGAGACCCGGACAAGAATAGCGGACGGACGGATGACCGGACGGACGGAATTAGCGGCGACTATATGTTAAACTCTAGAGGAGCATAAAAATGTAAAAAAGTGTGTTAAATATATACGTCCGCATTCATTTCAATCATTTGGCAAATACATGTCTTCTTGATTTGTCATTGAATATTAAAATCTGGAAACAAAGTGATCCATCGGAAGCATTAATCACAACAAAATTAAAAGAGAACTTCAGACTCGGTTTCATTAAGTGTGTTCATTCTCGTTTTGTTTTTGTTTCTCAAGGTATCTTCTTAATGTTCAACTTTGCTATTGATTCAATTTTTCCCTTATGCAAAAATTATTAGACCGACTACTTTAACTTATACGATATATGATAAAAAGCATATAAAGTGTCATAAAGTCAACAAGTGGACCTTGTGTACATGAGAGTATATCTGTAAGAAATCCAACAGTAAGGGATTACATTACATTAGAAGGGTGACAATTTGATTGCAATTTCTTGAGAAATGTACATAAAAAGAGTAATTCTTTACATATTGTAATGCTAAAAAGCAGCAATACAAAATAGGACATTATCAATTAATAAAACCCTTACAATATGTGCTAGAACACCTACACACACAATAATAGTAGTAATAATAGTTTTTTTGGAATCCATTTATAATGAGAAATTGCTCACAGAAGAGTATTTCTCTATATACTGCATATGTAGGGTAAACAAAGGGCCATAATTTCGCCAACAAAATCAAATTAGACGGCCCTGACAATATTTGCAAGGAGGCTTACTTTCATCATATTAACTTATATGCACAAATTAAAATGAAATTTTAAAAGTGTAGGTTGCAAGTAAAATTTTCATTTTGCCTAAATGTGTATATGTGACTGTAGGATTCGCCTTGAAATTCTGATTTTCTTGTTTTCGCTCTAAATTTCCTTCCTTTCGTTATTCTGAATGCATTTCAACATAAAACGCACACCAGTGAAAATGAATCAAGTATCCATTATACAGAATAAGAAAACTTAAATATATCTTAAATGCCTGTCTTACATACTTTATAAATTGCTCAACAGATCACTAATGTATAAATTAAATCTTTAGAAATTAAGATAATCAAATTTCATAAGATGGGTCTTTTTTAAAATAAAGATAGGAAATTAATTACCAGCATGGCGAAGCAATTCTTCTTGCTAAGTCAAAATCATCGTCATCGTTATCTCTATCAGTTGTGTCACAATTGCCATTTACAGTACCAGTTGGAGCAGTTGTGTTTCTCGCATGACAAGAAGACCTTAGAACAATATATACATCATACACCCTTCAAACTTATTTCTTATCGCACATTGATATCCATTCTATTCAGCATAAGTCAATGCTAATGATTAATTAATGTTGTATACTTGTTTAAAATTAAGATGAACACGTCCGATAAAAGATTTAGAGAAGTTGTATTTCAGTTTAATGCTAAATTTGTGAAAAAATATGGATAGTTGTTAAATGTATTTTATTCATTCTAAGCAAGACAATGATGCTAATACAATATTATACCGTATTTAATACAATTTATGTTATTTTAGTACATAAACTGTAAAATTATCTATTATCAAAAACAACTGAAATCTTCGTGGTAATGCTTTTTTATGAACCCATTCTTACCGGTTTGATGCAAAACCTGTGTACAATAATATTTGACATCTCTCCCAAGTCCTACATATTATTCGACTTCCGTCTTTCATCGTTGGTTGAACGAACTTAATCTTTGCCTGTACAAA